TCTGACCATCCAGTAGCTCCTTCAGCATTTTCTCGACAGGCCCAGGGTTCACCTCAACATTCCCACACAGAAGTAATGAGCATACACAGTAAACGTCATACGCAATACAAAGGCACTGATGGGGGCACGGCAAGACCAGAAGACCAGGGCAATCGCTCCTTATCGTACAGTAGTGAGTACCACCTGCACAATGCGGAAGAATGGCGTTTTAGGCCACATGTTCGCTCCGGGTCCGCCGTGCCCACTGAAGCTGAAGTTCTGGATGCCAACTTTTATAGGGGACGCAGACGAGGTCACATGATGCGAAGGGGGCGGAGCAAGCTCGATGACAGGGTAGCAATTATGGCGATGCAAGGGCCCATCTTGGGTGAATCCATACGGCACGTGTAGGCTGTTGATACGTCGGTTGCGCAGTGTGTTCCGGCCAGACCGAACAGGAAACCTGCACAATGCGGAAAGAATGGCGTTTTAGGCCACATGTTCGCTACCGGGTCCGCCGTGCCCACTGAAGCTGAAGTTCTGGATGCCAACTTTTATAGGGGACGCAGACGAGGTCACATGATGCCGAAGGGGGCGGAGCAAGCTCGATGACAGGGGTAGCAATTACTGGCGATGCAAGGGCCCATCTTGGGTGAATCCATACGGCACGTGTAGGCTGTTGATACGTCGGTTGCGGCAGTGCGTTCCGGCCAGACCGAACAGGAAAAACCCTTGCACAATGCGGAAGAATGGCGTTTTAGGCCACATGTTCGCTCCGGGTCCGCCGTGCCAAGATAAGAGCTGCGGCGCGCTCATTGCGCCATCTTGCTGATAATGTGAAAACACGATAGTTCCCCCCCCCTCCCGAGATGCCCACCAACAGTGGTAGGTATAAATAGGTTGCCATTTGAAACCATGAAGGAGGTACACCTCAGTGGCTAACGCCTTGCATTCACGACGCGAACGTCCCACGTTCGATTCCGCACGTCAGAGTATCTTTTCCAGTTTCTTTTAATCTTTCTTGCCTTTTCATATATATAGATACGTATTCATGTACGGTGCATGACATCGCCGCTGACGGCGAAATCCAGCCAAAAGTATTCATAAAATTGCTGTCGCAACAAATATGCCAGGCCTGCACGGAACGTGCAGCACTGTCACAGCGAAAGCTGGAGGAGCAGGCTTTCAGAGTTTTTTTTCCACACTCTTTAGGTAGCTACTGAAGCAAACTTGCAGGATACCCACTAAGCTATGAATCTTTGCATAGTAGGCAGGCATTTACCACGCCATCCTATGTGATTCTTTGGAGAATCGCAGCACCCGCTGCACACTTGCAAGAATTTTGTGCAATTTTCAATGCTGTGGCTGATGAAGAATTATGACAGAAGCCTTTGTAATACCTCAATCGCTCATAGTGGTATGCACCACACTTAAATAGGTGAACAAGACAAGCTTTTGTAATAGGTTGAGCACTTGATCACCCACTCATTGCACAATTCGAATTGTGCAACCTCTCGTTGTTTTCCTCTTCTGAAACGCTTTATTACTCATATTAACGCGATTCCTTTCCCGACATCAAGCGTACCTAAGGCCAGTTACAAAGCAGCTTTAAGTACCAGCGTGCTCAGTGGTAGAATACTGGGCTAGCATGGTTGGGACCTGGGTTCGAATTCCATGGTGTCCCTTGGACGTTTTTTATTTACGATTTTTTATTTTGTGCGACAGTGGTTACGGACACCGGCAGCGGACAATTACAACGCACGCGAGCCTTCTTGTGAAGCTGTGTGGATTGAATTGGAGGATGTCAATCAAACAATTATCAATTGCTTATATCGGTCGCCTTCATCATCTGTATCTGCTTTTTGCAATGAATTGAACATTGTGCTTGGTAAATTATCTTCAGAAAAGAAAAATGTTCTCATTCTTGGTGACAATAATATCAATTTGCTAGATGACTGCAGTGCCGCTACTATTGCTTACACTGACTGCCTTTGTGGTTTTGGCCTCGAATCATTGGTTTCCGTTCCAACCAGATGTACTTTAGGGTCCTCGTCCACAAACTTTCTAATCATATGTGTCCTCCTGTTTGCGGTGTACTTGAGAATACCATCACGGATCATTTCCCTATCTTCTTTAAACTTCCTTGTCAATTACATAAACCTTGTCATAAGTTCAATAAAGCTGTGATCAACAAAGATGACTATAATACACAGGTTTCCAAGCTATGTCTTCCATAAACTCAGAATCGCACGTAGATTCTGCATTTAATGAATTTTCAAACAGCATAAAACAATGTATCATAATTCGACCAAAATCGTAAGGTGCCGGAGACATATCCCTGCGTTGCACAATCCCTGGTTAACAAATGGCCTTCTGACTAGTTTACGCAAAAAAGATAACCTTTATCGCAAAGTTAAAAAGCGTCCTTTCAACATTCGACTCAGAACGCGCTATAAAGTTTACTGCAATCAACTGAACAAGCTACTAAAAGAAGCCAAAAGAATATATTACCAATGTCGAATAGCTGAGGATGGTTCTGATGCAAAGCGACGATGGAAAATAATAAATTCTTTCTAGTCCGGATCTAGTCGGGATTAACCCATAAGAAAGAATCAGTCAGCACGTGGCTTCTATACCAAACCGTTAGATATTGCCAACGCTTTCATTGAATTCTTCTGTGGTCCCACTTTCGAGGAAAACAACAATAATCAAGTATCACCTCAACGTTGCTTACAATCAATGTACTTATTTCCAACAGACCCAGACGAGATTATTAATGTCATAAATCATTTAAAGGTTACGTGCGCAGGTCTAGATGAAATCAGTTCAGCAAATATAAAATTAGTCGCTCATTGCATCGCTAGCCCTTTATCCTTTATCACCAACTTAATCTTCACGAGTGGAATATTTTCAAGACAGCTAAAAAAAGCTAAAATTATTCCTGTGTTTAAAAAAGGAGACCGGGCTTGCATTTCAAATTATCGTCCTATCGCTATTCTCCCTTTTTTTAGCAAAGTCGTTGAAAAGTGCATTGAAAAACGCCTTACCACATACCTCTCAAAATTTAATATTCTTTCCTCAAATCTAACAAAGGACGGGTTCTTCGACTGACTACGCTTTACTTTTTTTCACAGATAAAATAAAAAGCGCCATTGATTCTGGTTTCTACGCAGGATCAGTTTTCATAGACCTATCGAAAGCATTCGACTCCATCAATCATGACATCCTCATTTCTAAACTACAGGCAGTAAGGGTCGACGGGCCTGTGCTGAAGCTTATAAAGAGTTATTTAACAGACAGACAACAGGCTGTGTGTGTTGCTTCCTCGCTTTCTAACTTCGAAATAACAAACAAGGGTGTTCCGCAGGGATCGATACTTGGCCCACTCTTTTTCTTACTTTACATAAATGATTTGCCTAATCACCTATCACAAACAGAAGCTTTCCTTTACGCCGACGACACGACATTGCTTGCTAGCGTTCGATCACTAACTGCTCTTACATCGAAGTTGAATACTGATTCGAACAATATTTTAGCATGGTGACGCCTTAATTCGCTGAAGATAAATCCCACCAAGACTTCATTCATGTTTTTTCATACCAGTCACAGAACACCAGAAATCCTTGCCATTATCATTCTTGATTCTCATGTCATTAGTGCAGCTGATGAATATTCATTTTTCGGTGTTACTTCAGATTCTAACTTAAAATTTAAGAAACACATCGCCCATTTGAAGCGCAAATTTCTCCTGGTATTAGAATTTTAATAAAAGCCAGGTACTATTTCAGTAAACCTACACTACTAGCACTGTATTATTGTTTCATTCACAGTCATCTGAACTATTGCATCACGTCATGGGGTACCACATATGCAACACATAGCACCGCTACAATATTTACAAAATCAGGCCATCCGTATACTAACGTTCAGCTCGTTCAGCTGCTGTGTGTCCGACATTCTTCATAATAACAGAATCCTATCATTAGACAACCTTATTAAATACAATTTATTCATAGTGTTATTTAAAATAATGAAGAACCTTCCTTCAGTAAACATATTTATAGACGCTGTTCTAGTAAACACCAACCACGCAAGATTTGCAGCTAACAACAATTTATTATTGCCATTAGTCCACACTAATTATGGAAAACACTCCGGTTATTTCACGTCATTATCAACCTGTAACACTCTTCCCCTTAACGTTAAGCAGTCTTCATCATTAGCTATTTTTAAAAATACATTATTCACTTTTCTGCTGGATATCTTAGAATTCTAAGATGTGTAATATTATCTGCACCTGTTCATATTCATGCACTCTTAATGGTGCCACAGCTGCTCATCTTTTTCTTGCTTTTTTTTCGTTCCTCTGTTCGTTTGGTCAATATTATTTGGGTTTTTTTCTTTATTTTTATATGTTCTAAGCAGTGTTTTATTGTACTTATGATTGTTAAAATTTGTTTTTTCTGTATTCTATTTATTTGTATAACTTATTCCACGTTGCTGTCAGAGCTGCATTTACTTGTGCATATTATCACATTTTCTGACGGGAGGTCTCCCTTCAGCGAAGTGCTCTGGGACCTCCTTCTGTATGTTTATGTAAGCATGCATGTTTTGTACGAAAGTAAAATAAATTGAATAAACTGAAACTGAAAGACGCAAGATCTGGCTTGATACTTTGTGCTCTAAATTCTGAAGCAGGGGACAGCTTACGTAGTTTCCATTTCCAGCATGACCAGCTTCACTATGGTTGATGCTCACAGTTATCGAGTGGACTAAGAGCCGACAGTGTTCTTCACCAAAATTGGCTATGATTTCTTACTTCATGGCTCTGCATATCGTGCCTGGTCCTCAAGTACATAGCCACAATCATAGATTTCCTGACAATAACCAAGCACAGCACAAGCAGGCATGGCTTAACGAGTCAAGCTGGTGAAAGACGGCTGGTGCAGCCAGTTTCGGTGGTTCTGCGTGTCCTACATAGGCACATAAAGAAATTGAAAGGTGGGCAACACAAGACTCACAGCAGCCCAGCAGAGAGCCTGGTACAGGGCCTCCTTCGAAGCATCCAGGTCGAAAGTGTAGATAATGTTGCCTATGGTCCACAGCAGACGACGCATCAGCCAGAGCTCACAGTCTCCCAAGGCAGCTGGTACGTGGTTTTCCATCACCTCACGAATCGCCTTGTACAGATTCTCAAAGTGGGGCAGCTTTCCGGTGGAGTCCTCAGTGGGCTCTGGAAAAGGCTGCCCCTCACAAGCAGCCACTACCTGCGCACGACAATAAGCATAGAGAGAAATCATCATGGGTACAATGTGCCCTACCCACGGAGGAAGAAACATTTAGGAGGCGCTATCCAAGCTTTGAGGCGATCAGATAAAGTTACATTGCCAGAGGGCCAAGTCATGCTGGCGGTGTCGTGCAGCAGAAAAGGTAACTGCCCCTGTTTCCATTTTTCGGCGAACCAGGTGAACGTGCTGCTCGCGTTCCGCCGCAGTCACGGAGCGTGTTTGACTGGCAGCGTTTTTTTTTCATGGTTGCTGCTTTGCACCACAAGGCGCCACCAACTGATATGTCTTTGTCGGAGAATGTTATTTTTATATTTTCTGTGTAATTCTCTGGTCGCCTCCAGACACATATTCTAATGGGAGTTTCGCCTCCTCAATATTTCTTCCTCCGTGGCCCTACCCTTACGGGGAAGTTCTGAAACCCCATGGTGAGGCCTCTGATCTCGAAATGCTCTTGTTCGAGTGAGCCGAACCACAATGGCACAGGGCAGCACATGAGAGAACACTGTGTATGAGAGAAACTTGTGCCACTGCATAGAAATAGGGATTGATCAGGAAACACAAAACAGGCAAACATGGCACCCTGCTTATGGAGGACACCTCATATGAGAAATAGAAACTTACCATCCTCCGCATATCTCTAATTAAGAGATAAAATCGTACTTCACTATCATTGCAATGTAATGATGCATACCACACCAGCCCTGTGGTTCTAATTCATCAAAGAAACTGTCAAAGAAACTGCAAAGTTTCAGTACCTCCAAACATTTAGAAACAGCTTATAGAAATATCAACTTCTCAAGTTGGTTTTCCTCGCAAACTTGCTCGTTACAATCTTAAACTCATATTCAAGCGAAACTTGCATAGAATGACCCGAGATGCTTAAAATCGTGGTGTTTCTAAAAACCTTCCTTAGCCACAGCTGGAACGCACCAAAGACTTAATACAGTAAACTAAATAAATTTCTGGTCAGGGGCTGGAGTTCGAACACGAGTCTCCCCCACCCAATCGGAAAGCAAGTGCCTGGACCACTAGGCCAAACAACCATGCTTGCCGAATATGTGACCTGAACTTAATATCGTGAATGCATCACACCGGCAAAGTGAATGAAGAGAATTTAAAAGGGACCTAACTTGCAACCTTCCAATTCAAGGGTTGCAGGTTCGGCCCCTGCCAATGACAGATTGTATTTTCATGCACTGTTGTACACTTTTTGTTCACTTTCGTCAATATCTGTATCACAATTACTGCAATACACATAAAACAGTACAATTATTATTTCCTATACCTTTCTTGGCTCCATTATCTAATAGTATTCAGTAACACAATAAGACACAGTTATACTGCACTAGTTTAGAGTAGTAGAAACAGTAAAAATATCGTGATACACGGATTTTCAAGACAGGCAAAGTTGCAGCAGCTGCCGTTGAAAGTCAAGTTATTCTTCAAGAAAGTGCTTTACTCACCAGATCTTTTCTAGGACCTTCTACAGCAGCTCTTCATAATGGTTTCAAAGACAAATGTGTATCAAACATAACAAGCATGCACATTTTGGGTTACTGTCATTTTTTAGTGGAGGAAACTGCACAGGGCTGGTCTGCTTCATGATAGGACATGGATAAAAAAAAACATGTGCCTAACTTACTTCACACATTGCGTAAGCCAATCGTCGCCCCAGCAATGCGCAATTTATTTCAACCACAAGTGAGAAGCATGTACGCCCCGGATCACGATGCGATCCTTCAAGCGCCGGCGCTCCAACAAGAAGTGGCTGCAAGAGCACCACGAGGGCTTCACCAATGCTGCCTCTCTACACAAAGCACTCACAGGTGCAGAGGACAATGGCTCATTCAGAAATATACATGTGTAATATTCCAAGTGGTCACCACTCACAGGTGTAGAAGACAATGGCTCATTCAGAAATATACATGTGTAATATTCCGAGTGGTCACCACCAACAAGTGTACAAGATGCAACTCATTCAGAAATATACACAATGTGTATGTAACATTCCACATGATCACCCACACTATATCACCCCAAGGACGTGGATTTCCCACACAACCACACTAGCTGCATGCATGCATGGGCCGAGTGCAAGAAAGAAAGCCTAGAAGGTCAGATTCAATTGACAGCTCTCTAGTAAATACCTCATGACCTTTGTGTGGCCTCAGGATATTAAACTAACTTATCAATTCGTCAAGAAATCAATCAATCAGTTAAAATGCCTGGGAAACGCACACAACGTGGTGAGCTAAACTCAAATCAAACTGCCGGTCCATTACTTAGTGAAAAACAAACCATGCAACTCTTCGCAAAGCGCTTTTCTAATGGCAAATTCTGATGACAGGCTTGAAGCTCATGTGGCCATAGGTCGGCAAACTCACTCGTGAATCGATCAGACTTCGATAAGGTCACGAGTGCAGAAGAGCAATGTTTTCGTGAGCTTGAGTCAGAGCGAGTCCAGTTTGGAACCTGAGTCCGGCAGAGGCAAATATTGACAAGTCCGAGTCCCAGCGAGCACATAGAGCAAAATGTATTTTTTGAGCGAGTCTAAATGAGCTCCACCTTTCACTCATCTTCATTATTACTACCAGCCTTATGAATGCCTATGTTTAAATTTAGGTCTATTTACACACACTTGAAGGCACTAACATTCATATGCCCCCTCAGTAATCAATATCAAGAGGTGCAAGTTAGATGGTCCCAAATCGCTTACCCCTCTTGCAAGCTGTTTTGTGGGACATGCTTGATAAAAATATCTTATGTGATTTGCATGTTTAATTAAAAAATCCTTACTGAAATGGAACCTCTGACAAAACTAATATTTGAAGGTGCAAGATCATAAGACATGTCACACAGCACCAATTATATGCGAGCTCTTGGAGTTGACGACATGAACAAATGAGCTAATTTTATGCTAACAAACTGTGGGCTTAGAAGTCTGAGGAAGTGCAGTTTAGGGAGCCTGAGTCGCATGATTTTTCAATTTTTCAATTCTGTTCCACTGATAAATTGGAAGCATAGACAGTGCTTTCCAGGGCAGCTATGCAGCAATTCTTACAGGACCCCTCACCAGGTACCATCGCAAATGTTAGTCGATCACTGGAAGTTGTAAAGAGCTGTCTAAGGTGTGCTGCTCCAAAATAACGTTTGAAATTTGTTCGATAATGGAGACGTTCAAATAAACTGAACCGCCCATATTCGGGCCTAAACAGGCATGTTTGTCCACCAGAGCCTTCACTCTCCCTGCTTGCTTCAGTGAAATCCCCAAGCAGTGTAGCTCGCTAGCACTCTCTCAAATTCCATAAGAGATGAAGCATTCAGTTCAGTTCAGTTTATCGTCATTCATTCAAAATTTGGGTGCACGTTAAATAACCCCAGGTGGTCGAAATTTCCGGAGCCCTCTACTGCGGCGTCTCTCATAATTATATGGTGGTTTTGGCATGTTAAACCCTACATATCAATCAATAAATCAATCATTCATTCAAAATACAAAGGTTCATGGTTGGTAGTGTTCAGACAAGGGTCCCCAAGTCAAGCGACTGCAGCTGAAACCTTGGTTAAATCAAATCAAGTTTTGTTATTTTATAATAAGATGTATGAAAAAAGATTATACAGAAGGAGGTCTCGTAGTATACATTGAAATGGGACATCCTATGAAATGTAAACATAAGTATTTGATTGGCAACAACAGTGCAAAAATAAGAGAATACAAGATTGAAAAATGAAATATAGATACAATAAATGACGATGCTCTCATCAACTATATGCAATTAGAAATATAGAATGTAATATATATGTATGGATAGCATGACATGAAAAGGAAAAAAAAACAGGAGACTGAAAAGAGAATGACATGGCGAGGAAGAAACCGGTTAAGTGTAAGAGTGAGTGTCGCATAACAAAAACTTCAATTCATGGCAAAATTTATGTGTTTTTTGAATTTTTAATAATTATGGCAATGTATTCCATAATCATATGGCTGCATTATGAACTGTCTGTTTGCCATAATTAGTTTGTACTTTGGGCAGAATTAAGTTGTTATGCTGTACAAAATGAGTTGGGTTAGTATTTAGTAAAGGATTCGCTCGCAGGATTTCAAGCTGGACGGCTGTGCCCTCGCAATCTCCGACATCAGCGTAGCTCCCGCCAACTGGTTCGCCCTCCGCGGTCTCCTGACGCCGTGCAGCTCTCGCATTGTGGCGCCCCGCCCTTGGACTGCTTCGACCGGATCCCCACTTTCCTATCTCCTTCTTTTTTCTCTCGCTTGGCTGTCTTCTTCTCCGTCTATTTTCCTTCTATTCTTTTTATCCCTCCTTCCCCCCACCCCTATAAGGCACTGCGCCATGTCGCCTGAAGGCAGACAGAAATATGGTGCCTTTTTCCTCTTCATTCTAACCACTACCACCACCAGTATTTAGTAAAGATGATGAATGAATTAAGGATACTAATATTTGTTTATTGATTAGCTTGAAAAGAAAAGTGGCGAGATTGAATTTTACAAGAGCGACAACACCGAAAATTTTATTTTCTTGTAGAATCTGTTTAGCTTTGTGGGTGAATGAACTAAATGTGATTAATCGAATAGCCTGATTGTGAATGATTTGTAGTGGTTTTAGGTGAGTGGTGTTTTCCGTGTATTAACATTAACACAAGAAAAATAAAACACCTTCACTGCTATACAGCAAGTGCACAAGAATTATTTAGATGTGAATAAACAAGTGGTAGAACATAAATATAAATTAAATATTTTGGAGTTATGTACACATAGTGCTGTTTTCCTTGTATTAACATTAACACAAGAAAAATAAAACACCTTCGCTGCTATACAGCAAGTGCACAAGAATTATTTAGGTGCAAATAAACAAGTAGTAGAATATAAATATAAATTAAATATTTTGGAGTTATGTACACATATTTACATAGGTATTCAGGATGACGCAGCAAGCGATGGAAAGAAAATATATAGGCGTAACCTCAAGAGACGAGAACAAAACACAGTGCATCTGGCAACAAATTGTGGTTAAGGATATGTTGTAGAAATCAAAAAGAAATGGACATTGCCCGGGCACGTAAGCAGGATAACCACTGGTAATTAAGGGTAACCGACTGGATTCTAAGAGAAGGCAAACGCACGGAGGTGAGACACAGGGAAGATGACATTAAGAAGTTTGTGGGTATAAAGTCGCAGCAGCAAGCACAGGACCGAGTTGACTGGCGGAACATGGGATTGGCCTTTGTCCTGCAGTGGGCATAGTCAGGCTGATAATGATGATGACGAGTTACATAGGAAATAATTACGTCGTAAAACAACAAAAAGCTGAGCTCGTTGGTCGGGGATCATTACGAAAAAAGGTAGGACAAGCAAACATGAACACCAGTGAAGATAGCACTAATGCAGACTATCAACTGAAGAAGCACACTGTGGTGGGAAAGAAGGCAGACACAAAGCTACCTGCACACGCTCATCAACACACGTCAATCGGGCACAAGCGACAGATGCTGCGAAAACTCTGCGACATTCCATTACAAATTTCACTGCTGTGTCAAGTGGGTTCTTTATGATTGGCAGACACAATTGTTACAAAGCAATCTAAGCAGCCTGCTTATTTACAAGCTGTGACCTAGCCTGG